AGACACAAGGGTTTTATTGACTGAGACTATGGAGTGAACCAGGAGGTGACGAGAGGTGAGAGTAACACAAGTGACTGGGTTCAGTGGGCTTAGCTTGAAGTGCCAGAACTTGGCTTTCTTGCAGGAATCACATGGAGTGGTGGAGAATCGGAATGGTGGAGAAACTGGAACATCTGTGGCAAGGAAACATACAGGTGAATAACAAAGGGAGTCAGGCTAAGTTCAAGATAGTGAACGGTAGACCGGACGTTGAGTTTGTGTGAGGTGAGCACTGATAAAGGGGAGCTTGATTAGCTGCAGCAGGTGCGGGGAATTAGAATGCAGGTGATTGTGATCTTGTGAACGTCGGTGCTGATGACTGAAGTGACTGTGGTTGAGACAGGTGTGAGCCGGGGAGGATTGTGGGACATGGAGTCCAGAGCTGGTGACTGGTGACAGAGACTCCCTGACAACTCCACAGACATATCAGGACTCAGGCTTTCGATGTTGCTGCATGTTCAGCTCCTCCATTTCCAGCCCAAGTCCCTCACAGCCCAGAGAATAATAATAATAATAATAATAATAGCCTATCTATATCCGATTAATTAAATGAGTTATGTTTAGAAATTGTATTAATAAACTAACCCCTAGCTTCTACAGGGTTCAAAAGCATCTGAATTGTTACTTGTTGATTACCTTTCTTCTTAAAGGGGTCATATGATGCCCCCTTTAAGGGTGTATTTTTATGGTGTATTTGGTGTAATGCAATGTGTTAATGCGGTTTAAGGTTCAAAAAACACAATATTTTCCACATACTGTACATTAATGTTTCTCCTCTATGCCCTGCCTTTATGAAACGCGTCGATTTTTACAATGCTCATTGGTCTGAAAGGCGAGGTGAGCGCTGATTGGCCAGCTATCCAGAGCGTTGTGATTGGCCGAATACTCAAGTGTGACGGAAATGTTACGCCCCTTTACCATATTGTGATGCCCTGTCATATTAGAGTTTTGAATAATCCCATTTCACTAATTTTATTAATTACTATCATAATTGCTTATAATTCTCCTTTAAACACTGAAACATTATCTTATATTCTTTTCCCTCCAGCCACTTCCAACCCTGGGATGATGCACACTATCCCCACCTGACCATTCTGTGGATCTTTAGACGCATCTGTGAAAACCTGTATATAATGTTCATACTTACTCCCAATATATTCTTTTGTCATCTCTGCTTCTAACATCCTCTGGTCTTTATCTTGTCTTGTTTCCAGTAAGAATAGGTCTATGCTTGGATGTGGTAAAATCCATAATGGTGTAGGTGGTAATATTACTGCTGGGATAACACTGTACTCATTCAATTTCATATCCCGCACTAAATCCTTAATGATCCAACCAAAACTATTGACTTTCCTTTTCCCTTGTCCCCAACATGTCTCAAGTATACCTTTTGTTGGGCGACTTTTGACCTTTTAAGTTCGCCCAGTATGTCAATATCAGTTGCTTCCGTCTTAAGTGAACAGGCATCTCCCCATCTTCACCTGTTTCAGATTCTTTCTGATTCGAGTGATCCACTTATCTGTCAAGCTAGCTAATGATGTTTAATGCGTGAATCATAGGCGGAGGGTGAACCAACTCCAGAGTAAGGCTAAAAGCAGCCAAATGTATTAAACATCGTAAACCCGTCTTTTTAGGCAAGAACCAGACATAGGTGTCATGTAGGCTAATAAAATATGTTTAATGGGACTGAATTTGTATTTAACGTGATTGCAATTAAATAAAAACATTAGAAATTGATAATTATATATTTTATTTCCTTGGTTATTCAAACAGCGAATAAATTATAGGTATATAGAAAGTGACATTATCACTAACTTTGATCTATAGCGAGTTTAAGCACTCTCAAAGAAACAAAACAAAACTCATTATAATCACTGAAGCTGTATACACTGTGAAATGAATCTCTTGCATTGTACTCACACGCACTCAAAACTGATGAGTTTCAGCGATAACTCATCTAAACGTCTCTGATTGGCCATTGCATTCCTAAGCTCAATAGAATTGTGTGTGATTGGTTAAAATGCGCAACACTTTAAAAACGCCTAAAATGAAATACGGTGCAACATGAGCAGATCTTAATTTAATGCCACAATCAACACTGTCTATTCATTTTCACTTTGTTAGCAACAAAGCTGATTTCATTTGTTTGTGCAGGGGCATTTTTGTCCAATTTAATGGCATTTTTGCCCCAAGTCCTTATGGCCAGGACACACTCCGCCTATGGTGTGAATTCTTGATAAAATGCAGTTATATTATGGGCTGTTGGCATTGTGGTCATGATGGAGCGGTAGTGGAGCGCTCTCAGAGTGAGTGAAAACCATGACGCTCCGACTTTAAAAAAATCCACCCCTCACTCTGCTCACATACTCTGGTCGGAATAACATGGCATTTTTTATATATTTTTTTTATATTGTTTCATCATACCTGATTAATGATTGTAAAGTGTGTTTGATGTGTTTTGATGAAACATCTGTGATGTATTGTACATCGGTAAATCACAACACCCCGTGCAATGGGCATTGTCAATCTTAGTTTTTTTTTTTTTTTTTACACTACTATTCGTAGCTTCTGCTTTTCCAAAGCGAAAGTGTGATTACAAATATCAACAACGGTTTCCAGAAATCGTTTACTGCACCTTTAAGCACACGTTAAAGCCACTGCACTCTCAATGGTCTGCCTAAGAGTGAAACATTTAAAGTTTTTAGGGTTGTGGTTTGATGAAAGAATTACATGGGCGATGCATATCCAGAAAAAACTGGACAAATGTAAGAAAGTAATAAATATAATGAGGTGTTTAGTTGGCAGTGAATGGGGGACAGATAGGATGGCATTAAAGGCCATATATAGTGGGTTGATTAGATCTGTATTAGATTATGGATGTGTGGTGTATGGATCAGCAGCAGAAACATCTCTTAGAAAGTTAGACAATATACAGCATTAGGTATTGAGACTATGTACAGGAGCTATAAAAACATACACCAATTACAGCACTACAGGTAGAAATGGGAGAAATGTCATTAGAAATGAGAAGGATACAGTTAAAGTCCAACTGTACTAGCCTACCTGTAATAAAACCTTGGTTACTTCCAGTAACAGTGGATTTTAAAAGAAAAATAAGGATAAGGCATGTAAATCATGTAACGTGCAGACGTATATTAATGAGTACCACACGCTACAGTGGATTTTAAAAGAAAAATAAGGATAAGGCATGTAAATCATGTAACGTGCAGACGTATATTAATGAGTACCACAGCTATGTTCAGATCTACACAGATGCATCAAAGAGTTTAGACAATAAGATAGGAGTAGCGTTTACTGTTCCAGAATTTAATTTATCAATAAAAGGATCAGTGATGAGTTATCTGTTTATAAAGGGGAAATAATTGCACTATTGTTAGCAATACAGTGGATAGAGGAGATAAGACCTTTGAAATCAGTTGTTTGTTCAGATTCAAGTTCATCACTGGCTAGCTTAGTCACTCGGAAAGTAGACCAGACATTTTAATTGAAATAAAGCAAAAATTATACAGAATTCAAATGATGGGCATTACAGTGGTATTTTTATGGGCACCCGCACATAGGCCTATTGGTATACAAGGAAATTAAAGAGCAGATAAGGCAGCAAACAAAACCATAAAAAACAACGACATTAATTTAATTGTTAATCTAAGTAAGAATGAAATCAAGAGTATTATTAAGAAAAGGAAAAGGAAATGTGGCAAAAAAAATGGGATCAGGAGAAGAAAGGTCGATGGTTTTACAGAATTCAAAGGAAAGTGGGAGAGATGAGAAGTGCAGGAAAAAACAGGAGAGATGAGATAATAATATCAAGGATGCGATTTGGACATACAAGGCTAAACAGTACACGTTATAAAATGGGTGAACATGATAAGGGAAGGTGTGAATTTTGTGGGCAAAAAGAACCAGTGGAACATGTTATGCTATACTGTCAGAAATACGAGACTGAAAGAAGGATTCTAATGCAAAATTTAGCAAAAATAAAAATGCAATTTATACTAGGAGATATTTTACTAAATAATTCAGGAAATTCATGTTATAGTTATATTTTTCAGTATCTTAAAATAACTAATTTATGGGAGAGGATATAAAAAAAGCGAGGGAATAAGTCATTTTAGTCCACACTCCATACCAGTTGGTGGCGGTAATACACAATTTTGTTGTTTGTCAACCGCCAATAAAACCTAAAAAAGAAGAAGAAGAACGCTTCGCCTACTTCCCAGAGAAAGAGAGATTTTAAAACCATCACGGATCAACTAACTAAAAAATATATAATGTACTGTAGGAAATATACTGTTGAAAGAAATGAGTTGAAGGATGAACTAGAGAATAAGGGTGAGCGGTTTATAATTAAGAATGTATTAAATCCAGGAAGAAACATGAAATCATTATTGTTACAGTATTTGGGAAGAACTGGGTTGAACAAGCAGGTATAAGTGTTGTTTTAATTATTTATTTATTCTTTTTTTCTCTCTCTCTCTCTCCTTTCAAATCCCGCTTAAGAGGGCTGAGGGAGGACGGAGGAGCTGAATACGCAGCGCCGGATGAAGCCCTATGAAGACACTAAGCGGGTACAAGAATCAAGGGTGTTTGTATGTGGGTTGGTAGGTTAATTAGGAGATTGTAGATAGAGTGTCAATGGTCCATTTGAGATATAGGTGGCGGTAATGCACTTATAAGCCTGCGATCCGCTGTAAAGCAAGAAGAAGAAGAACTAAAAAATATTCTCAGATCTAAATATTTCTCTGTGGGCTTTAACCTTCTTATTTAGTCTGTTCTTTGTCTCCTGTAACTAGTCTCTGGCATTCAGTTTGTGTGGAGGAACAGGAAATATTGAGAAAAAAAAAAACCCTCCCAAAGCAAAACAAGGAAGTGCAGGCAGCTGAGTGTGAATGTGCAGAGCACTGCAACATTACAGCTCTGTGACAACAGAAATTAAAATAAAGAAAGAAACGACGGAAAGAAAAACAGCAGCAACAGCACATATGATCATACGTGTTCACAAAGAGACAAAGGAAACAGAGAAAGGTAAGACTGAGGAGAGAGACGGGAACATAAAGGGTGAAAACAAATGTTTTGTATGTACGACGCAGCATGAGCATCATTTCTCATGCTGTGAGGTTGAGAGGAAAACTGTTGAAGCTAAACTTCAGGAGGAGGAAACGTTTTGTCTTAGTATCTGTCCTAGTAACCGGAAGGTTGTTGAATGGTTCAGATCACTCAAGTTTTAAAGTCTTTTCTGTTCAACAAGGCTGCAAATACAGTAAAACAGTAATATTGTGACATTTAAAATAATTGTTTTCTTTATTATTTAAATTATTTAATGTAATATGTATGTTAAATGATGCATATAAACAATGGGATTTAAGATTTTTTGTTAACTGAAAGTTAATTAAAAGTCATGCTATAATACCTACATATAATCTTTAGTCCCTACTGTGCAAGCCAAAGGTGACTGCTGCAAGGAAGAATGGAGAATAAAAAACCTTGGGAGAAACCTGGTCAAATAAAATGTCTATTTAAGTAGAATGTTACTATGTTGAATGAACTGTAAAGTTGTGCTGTAAGTGTCTTTTGAAGTCCATGCAGGATTGTATGTAAAAGTACAATAAGCACTGAGCTAAATCTGCAAGATGTCCGAAAACAACCAACTGCCCACTCAAATCAAAATGTAACAAAAATGTAGGTTCCTTTCTAGATTTTGCAATAACATACTCAAAATCCAAACTGTTAATCACTCCAGACCCTATGGTCAGGGTGAGTGTGATTTGACCAAGTACATGTTCCTGGATCAACATCCTTGTTGATCCTGGAACATCATTCCAATCAACCAATCAGAATTGAGATATAACTTTTTAGGAAATGTCAGTTTTAGGCTTACAATCAGGGTTAGGCACTTCTACACCCTTGTTAATCAGCTATCATTTCCCTCTGATTTTAGGAATACATTATGGGTAAGGTTAGGTTTAGGGGTGGGGATTGGGTTCAGTCTGTATTTTTGGACAGTAATGTTGATCCAGAATCAACAAGAGATGTTGATCCAGGAACTTGTCTTTCTTGGCAAAATCACGGCGACCATATGGTCAGTAAAGAAAGTGCAGCTCATTTTTGAGTCATTGTCCTCAGTTATTTTTTATTTATTCAGTTAATAAAATAATTCAGAAATTATAATTATTTTCTAAAGGGTTTACTCTGTTTAAAAAGCGATAGAAGGTAAATGGACCATTCAATGTTTTTTTTTTCCCCAAGACGGGACAGTGAATGAATGGTCTTGTTTGCAGTAAAGAGCTCTGTACCGCTGTACATAACTTTGGGAGGTTCTGAACTGATAATAAAGCTAAACACTCATTTGTGGGTTCAAGTAGAAGTCACACAGCTGCAAAAAGAAAAGATGGACCAAAATTTTTCTTAGCATATTTATTTTAGCAAACGAATGACTATATACTCCAAAGCCTTACTATGCTAATTTGGCCACTAGTGCCCTACACCCATGACACCCATTGAAGCTCTGCCACAGAAAGATTGTAGCACAGAAAAGTAGCACAATTGCTACATTTGCACTGTTGACTGAACCATTCAGTCATTACTGTTACTGAAACTTATTTTATTGCATTGTCCTTCATTGTCATTGTCCAGTTTGAGGCTCCAACCCAGACACTCACTATTATCCCCATCTTCCACCGCCATGGATGCATCGAGAGGATGCTGGGACAGCTGCTTTATTGAGGATGATTTGCCACAGATGGATGGCACGTGTGATGCGTGTGAACCGGACGAGCCTCAGTCAGCTGCTTGGATGTGCACACTCTGTCGCTTTGCCTTCTGCTCCAGCCATGCAGACAAACATTCACAAAGCACTGGTCACCAACTCCAGCCGTACAGCACCCCAGACCCTCAGGCAGAGCGTGGGCCACCGAAAGACTGCCAGGTGTCTGAAAACGCAGCAGAGGGGGCGGAGGCCACCAGTAATGATGAGCATAAACCATCACTCCAGACCGGAGCAGTGAAAAGAGACACTGTGACTGTGGAGAGGCTGAAATGTAAGGAGCATGGTCAAGAGGGTTCGCTCTACTGTAAACACGACCAGCGGGTAATTTGTGTGGTGTGCGCTGTGCAGGGAGAGCACAGAGAACATGAGATTATCACTCTCAAAGAGGCCTACCTGTGGCAGAAGGTCAGTCAACACACATACACAAAGTCCAACACTGTGGTGTTTTTCTCATTATTTGTCATTGTCATTATTTAGGCCAGCAACATAATAAATGCAATTATACGATTGCATATGTGAACACTTATTCAGCACACATATTTTCATTCATTTATTAATTGCACAGCAACCTATTTGGCAACGCAACAAGGCATGAGGTCTATCTTGTGTTGCTAGAAGCTAATAAAGCACACATATTTCAAAGTACACGTATTTCATACTTGCAGAATGAATGTTTCTAGCCTTACTCACCCTTATTTTTTCACCCTCAAAAATGATAAATCTGTCATAACCCTCATGAAACACAAAAGCTTTGAAGACAGTTTCAGCTCTTTTCGATATTGTAAAAGTGAAACCAGGAGATAAAGGTTTTGTGAAATTAATCGATGTCACCATGTGCATTCTGTTTTCAGAGAGAGGCTGATTCTATGGGAACTGTACATGGGGAACATTTTTTTTTTAAATATCGAAACAAAATAACATCCACAAGCCGACAGGACAGTTTCTGTTTTGTGACAGCTAACACTTTCTTTCAGTCATCAAAGTAAAACAAAGAATTGTTCTAATTTACATGACTGGTTAGTGCAGTTTATGTAAACCCGCAAAACTCAAGACGTTACAAAGACTGTGTAGTAGGGGTGTAAACGATCGAGTAGGGGTCATCACAATACGATCTGATATCGATTCTCATAACCAGCGATATGATAATTACTGATACCTCAAAAAATTCAGTGGTACGATTACGATAAAAATATATAACATATACTGTATAACATGAACATCTAGCTGAAAATTGCACTTCCTGTATCCCAATTGGGACATCCACGACAACAGTGGGGGAAAAAATACACAGAAAAATAAATAACTGGGAAAAAACACGAGCTGTGTAATCTGATGACAGCCTATGACATGAAAACAGTCAAGAAAATCTTTCAGGCTTCTGTGCTAAAATTAGGGATGTGTGCGGGTCTAGTCGACTAAACGGAACAGCTCCTGCTAGTCGACACTGAAAACAGTAGTCGATTACACAAAAGAAAAACAAAAACATGATTTTATCATTCACATTACCATCATTTTAACATTGCATTTAAAACATTTTAAATAAGTTATAATAAAACGTTTGAAAAGTAATACGCAGTGCTTGGTAATTTTATAGTAGGCCAATTTGTGTACATTCTCCCTATATCTCAAACTAATCATGAAGAATGTTGTGGGTTTGTCACTTTATTTATTTTTTATTTTTTTCATCTAAGTTATCCCTTACATAACAATGTGTGGCCAAAAATCTAGCACATGCTATTTCCTAAAATTAGTTTTTGTACAAATGTGTTTTTTATTTATCACAGCAGTGTGAAACTGGCTGCAATAGTGTCTGATCATTGAGGACTGTGTTGGTTAAATGAAAACTAATAGCATTTTCACAAATATGTGTATATGTTTTGACTGAAGGGTGTATGTTTTGACTGAAGTGTGTATGTTTTGACTGAAGTGTGTCATTTTGCAAACAATCTAGGAATTATGCAAATTGAGTGTGGTGTTTGGATAATTGTGCTTATATTGTGAAAAAAAGAACCCGGTTTTCAAAATTGCGTGTAAACAAATGAAAAAAAGTGTAACTACAACCAAGAAACCTACGTGCCATCTAGTGGCAAATTTATGCAATCGCATCCCTCTTAGTTTAATGAATTCGGGAGCACTATTCTCTATTAGCTAGTTGTTTACTTGCATGCATATTACACTAATAAACAGCCAATATGCTAGTATTGGCTGTTTATTAGTACTTATAAAGCTCATATTAATGGCTTGTTCTGCGTGACCATATTCTAGATCCCTTTTTTTTTTTTACTGAATGACCAAAAAAGCACCACCACCAGTCCGAAGTTCAGTTAAAATGACTAATATGCCTAATATGCAGGTTATCAAGTTTTAATTCTAATTACAAAAGTTCCATCATTAAATAACATTGATTATCATATTATAATGCTTGACTGACTGATGTTAAGAGTGTACTTTCAGATATTTATAAAACTGCCATTTTACACACACACACATATATCTCATTCTGGCGAATAAACAAAAAAATTTACTAGCCAATGGCGATTCAATTGCCAAGGTGTCCGTAGAGGGCTGAGTGGTTAACCCCAATTTTATGACGTGACGAGTACTTTGTTTGCCCAAAATTAAACATTGTTTACCATTTTATTAAGGAATATAATGACCTGTGATGCGCGTTCACAAAGGTATGATTGTTGCATGAACTGTTGTGTTGATTGTGGGGATGCTATTATTTTGTAAATAAAGTGGCAAGTTACATTTTGTGCACAAAGAAAGCACTCACATTGCTTCATAAAATTGATGTCAGAATCTGTGTTGGGTATTCATAAGCCAATGATTTTTGTTTTACTTTCACTGTTATTTTTTATATATATATTTTTATCTTTCAGACTACACACAACTACCTGGCTACACTTGCATCAGTGACTATATGAATTTTCTGGCTTCTAGACTTTTTTACCCATTTAACCATATGCAATGCCGACTGACAATGAAGTGGGTACGGTGTATACTTTGCACTACACCACTGGTTACCATCATTCATCAAAATATCTTCTTTTGTGTTCAATAGAATAAATAAATTCTTACAGGTTTACAACAACATGAAGGTGAGTAAATGATGACAATGTTAATTTTGGGGTGAATATAACCTTTAATGCATTAAGAATATGTGTTACTAGAGAATGGAACCCATGACATTGGTGTTGCTAGCATCAAAGTCTACCAGTTAAGGTATTTTTGTAAAACTTTTACTTTTGTATGAAATTCTTAGGTTAAAACACATATACATAAGACGCATATAAGTGTGTTAATGTTAATGTGTCTTAATATATTCAATGTTTCTATTAAAGTATCTTTTTACCTTTAAACCTTTGAATTATTATTTTAAGTCTTAAGGTATGTTAATCAAAACCAATACAGATGTAAAATATCAATATAACTGGAGGTTAAAAATTTAAATAAAAATAAAATGATACCCTAAAACAGACCATAAACAACATATTATAATTAAGACTATGTAAATGAATCAAAAGATGAGCACATTAACATGCACACCAGTACACTGATTACTCACTAAAATCTGCTTATTGAAATAACCCGTTTTCCCTGTTTACATCCAAATCAGTAACCCGACAACGCAAATCAAGTTGTTGGCTTATTAAGAATAATTGGCTTAAGAACATGCATGTAATCGCACTGTGAATACCATAGTATGGATATATGATTATGCAAGTTTATATGAATAAAGAAAATAAAGGCAATAATAAATGGAATGTAACACCAGATTATATGTGCTCTTTGAAAGCGACACCAGATATATGGTTCTACTTTCTTGGCATGAGCCGGACCAACAGTCAGCCCTCAGATAATATACCTTACTTTCCAGCAACAAGAGTCATAAATCAAACAATTTCTGAATTTTTTTGTGCCTTTTAAATACAGCTGTTCTTCTCTAGGTCAAACATCCATTGGCTGTAAATGCTGCCTGGCAACATGTTTCTAGAAATATGTTCTTAAATTGTAACACTGTTGGGGATTTGATCTGGGGACAAATAACAATAATCCATTGTTATTGTTTTATTCCGGCTCTTGATTTGGTCGGTCAGATCATCTAGTTTCTTGCAGAAAGTCTTGATGGCTTCCTTCACTGGTTGCTCCGTGAAGTACATATCTGGATACATGCCTAAGAACCGCTGGGGGAAAAAAGTAAATTCTTAAGAAAAAAGAACAACATTTGTCATTATTTTTAATATAGCTAAAGGTAAATAACCTTAACCTTTTAATAAAGGTAAAGTGAGCACAAATCTTAGTAAATAATGTTATGTGAATCCTTTAAATACTGTCCTTCCATAAATTGTGTCTAACAGGGAAACTCCCACAAATGTATATGCAATATGGTCAGCCACAAAAATAACCATGTCCATGCCTTTTCAGTGCTAACTTTTCACTGTGCGTCTTTAGTAAATACTGGCAGAAGTTTTTTATGCCACAAACGGGGTTTGCGCTAACGCAGGCTGATAGTAAATCTGGCCCATAGACTGTAGCAAGTAAGCGTTCTCTTTTTTTAAGCAGGATCATATGTAAGTGCGAACTCATGAATTTGTTGTAGATTGCATTTGGCATGTCGTTCGAGGGGAGGGCTCCGAGCTTGGAATTCAGCCCTAACCCAGAGAACTCCCGCCAAATCCCAAAATGGGATCTGCTTGTTGAGCCTGACTTCACACATCGCCAATTTCTGGGTCCAAGCACTCTTTCAGATGCAAATAGCAAACAACAAAAGGGACCAATGTACATTCACTGTGCGCTGTAAAACCATAGAAAAATCATAATCCTAACCTGTCACCATAAGGAGATCTCAGATGGCCAGACAATAATTCATCTTTTTTAAATCTTTAAAATATTGGTGGCTGGGATGCTGTGAGCTCTGAGATTATAGTGCACACAAGTAAGTTTATGAAAGCTTACCTTAAATGTCCAATATGAAGAAAATGACACTCATGGATGTCTGTTATAATAGTATTCTTATTCGAAACAAGCACATGGTGCTCTTTACGTTTTTCTTCTGAGGTAAATCCTGGGTTATTTCTCTCAGCGCATCTTCCAGAAACGACAAGTAGCTGAGATGAAGTTGAAAGAACGGTGTTCCTTATATCACCACTTAACAAGCAGATAGGAATAGACAGGAGTGGTGGAGGGATGCTGGAAACTATATATATATATATATATACAGTGTTGGGAATAACGCATTACAAAAGTAACGATATTACAGTAGTATATTACTTTTTTGCTGTAACGCAGTAATATAACGCATTACTAATAACATTTGGGTAATATTATTACTCGTTACAATCTCAGTAACGCACGTTACAACATATTTTAACTCAAAATTAAGTGGTGAATTTACTAACACCGCAAAACAGCACCAAACAATAAATTCCGCGGGTAAAATACTTTGTCTATTTCCTGTTGCTGTAATTCGATGGTTGAGATGACTGACAACAAAAATGAGGTACTCCAGTTGTAGAAAAAAATACACACAAAATAAAGGCATTAACTTATTTTTGAGATTTGTTTTTGGTTTTTTTTGGCTGCTGCAGTCTGAGGCACATGCAGACATGAAGTGCTCATTGCTAAGACACTTTTCTATAGATAACCAAATTGCAAACTATAGCACAAATAAATACAATGGAAAAAAGACACAAATGAAATAAACAGTGCTTTTCAGGCAGGTCTTAACAGAAGTTTTCATGTACAGAATTTGAATAAAGTTATCAAATATAAAATAACACTCCATAGTCTTCACTGTATAAATTAAATATAGACTCATCCTTATTAAGTTTACAAAAGTTATTCAGTCAAGAGCACTGAGAGTATTTTTCTGTATTTTGTTGTTTGATTAACAAAAAAAACAGACAGCAGAAGGTTTATCTCTTTAAGTCAAAATGCACGGATCCAATATCAGTGTTGGGCAGGAACGCATTACTTTAGTAACGCATTACTGTAATTTGATTACTTTTTTAGTAACGGAGTAATTTAATGCATTATAATTTTCAAAATAGTAATTAGAGTATAGTTACAAGCCAAGGTCTCTATACGTTACTGCCGCGTTACATTGCTGACAGAATGCAGTGTTTTATAATCTAGAGATTGTAAAAAGGATGTAGCACACGCACTGTCGAGTCAAGTGCCCTGCTCCTGCGAGACCCGACGCAACAGAGTGCGGCGCGGGACAAGATGGGTGAGTGCTGCTGCGGGCGGGTAGACAGTGGTAGACACACGGGTAGAGTGTGCGCGGGATGCGGGAGAATAAAATGATTCATGGGACTCCCGCAAAATAGAAATATCTAAACATAAAATATCTAAAACAAATAAATTGTTATTCATCTATTGCACAAAAGCAACATGAACTAATATAAAATATAAACGATTAACAGGTGCAAGCATATGCAGAGTTTCTATTTAGGTTATAACACGTGTTTGCAGCGTTGAGCAATGTAGTGCTGAAATTTGCGTGTTCATGAATCCTCTCATTATAACACACGAATTGTAGCATGATAATAATGGCAATTGATGCTTAAGGTTTATCACTGAAAGCATTGAGCTTACCATCTGTCACGGGTGCACTGCTGAGCGGACTGAGGGGCAAGGAACAGAGAGAGATGAGGAGTACATTAATCCAAACGGGTTTAATTAACACAAAGGAACACTCACGCTATACATAACATGAACATAGACATACACATACAATACCGGACCCTGGAGCACACACAGGGAACACTATTTATACACATGACAGGATGAGGAGAGGACGAGACACACCTGGGATCAATAGACATAAAATGGGGAACACCTGGAATCAAATAAACCTAATCAGGACAGGAACAGGAAACTAACCAAATATGGGCGTAGGAAGGCACATGGGAGCCCTCCCTGGGCTGAACTGGGGGTCAGGAGCCCTCCCTGGGCTGAACTGGGGGTCAGGAGCCCTCCCTGGGCTGAACTGGGGGTCAGGAGCCCTCCCTGGGCTGAACTGGGGGTCAGGAGCCCTCCCTGGGCTGAACGGGGTCAGGAGTCTTCCCTGGGCTATACTCGGAAGCAGGAGCCCTCCCTGGGCTTAACGGGGAATCAGGAGCCCTTCCTGGGCTGAACTCGGGAACAGGAGCCCTTCCTGGGC